ATTAATTTGTCCCGCGCCCCCCCCTGCAATTGCTCTGCGCCCCCCCTAGTGAGCGAGCACCCTACTTTAGGAACCACTGAGTTACATACTGTAGATTGTAAAACAAAGTTAGATCGCAGAAAAATACCTGCAGCTTGCTCGGATCCAACTTTCCCCTCAACAAACACGGCCACCGTTGGAAAGAGCGCTCTTATTTGAGGGAGTGTTGCCACGGGGACCGCTGGGACTCTCGCTGAAACTCCCGTCGGAGCAAGACAACCACCGCAAGACTTTTATTCAAGAGACGGCATAAATAATAAATTGAGAGGTGCAGAGAACGATAAAAATGACCCGGGTTACATATGTTTCAAGCATTTGTGGAAAGTTTGTTTATAGCTTATTGTTTGCATTTGTGACTTTTTCTAATCATGAAGGTTTTTCCTTTTGTTGATTATGAGTTTAGATATAATGCTTATGTTTCTCGAAGAAAATGAGTTCAGCTGCTTGGATTGAAACAAAACTGCACCAAAGACAGTCTTTGTATTGTAGACATACAGTGGAGTTAACCAGAATTTGGTCAGCCACCAATTATTTTTAGATGTCCCACTTAAAAAGATGAAGGAGGTCTGTAATTTTCTTCATAGGTTTACCTCAAATAGAGAAAGAATGAGATCAAAAGCTTAAACGTTTTCTGTAGTCTTCACAAGGTTTTCACACACTGTTGCTGGTATTTTGGCCCATTCCTCCATGCAGATCTGCTCTGGAGTAGGGATTTTTTGGGGCTGTCGCTGGGCAACACAGACTTTCAACTCCCTCCAAAGATGTTCTCACTCCGTAAGTGCGGGGAGGGCGAGCAAAGGAGCAAGGCCAGCGCTCACATTCAAAAATTTCACAAAATGAGTTTTAAACAGTACCGTGGCGCCCAGAGGGTTAATAGCGAAACGCAATCTGTGGCGGTCAGTCTCAAATCTGTGGTGCACCGCCACAGATTAGCTTATGTGTGGGAAACACTGATCACATTAATTATATAGTTTATAAAATGGGCAGAAGCATGGGGATAATCAAACACTGGTAGTGTGTACCACAGTGGTTGACCAAAAGACTTGTTCAGTCATTAGACCTTTCTCAGATGGATTATGCTTCTATGGTTTGGTCAAACAAATGTTAAAACAACCTACACAAATTACAAGTGACGCAGAACAGAGTAGCCTGAATTGTATTAAACTGTCCATACAGAACGAATGTCTCAACGATGCACTACAGTTTAGCCCTTCTTACTGTTAAAAGCAGAGCACAGTATTTTGTACTGACCTTTATCAGGAATGTTATGTCACACAATCCTGAAACAATTTATTATTTATTTATTTTATTGTTTATTTTAAATTGTTTTCAAATTCTCTTAGATCAGGCCACACTGCAAAGTAGTGACTTAAGGTATGTGCTCCCTACATGCAGAACAAATACAATTCAGAAAACTGTAGTTTATTGAGCCATGGTTGCATGGAACATGTTGCCCTCCTTTATGATCGAACAGAGTGAAAAATAAATAATTCAAAAGAAATTAAAGCTATATCTTGTGGGAGCGGGCGGGCGTAAAAGGATTATGTTTTAAAAAAAATGTAAAAGCATGTAATCCTTTTGAGGAGACTCCAGGAAGATTAGCAAATTGCACCGTGGAGGATCCGCGCAAACGCAGGCCCCATTCAAAGACTAAGACAAGTCAGAAGCGAAAACTCTGCCCCTGCTGCCACTGCATCTCAGTGGCTAATGGGCAGTGTTGTGCCAATTCACAGCTTTTCTGAACTAGTTCAAGTTCATTTCATACATGCTCAAAGTGAACAGTCCATGTTCAAAGTTCACAATTTTAATTCTGAACTGGTTAAAAGTTCAGTTCGTTTTCAGTTTGAGACATTCAAATAACTTTTTTTCACACCGCACAGGATGAGAGCCTTTTGACTCCAAAACAGACCAGATTTACATTGGTTTCAATGGGATCAAAACTGAGTTGTCCCATCTCTGCTCATAAGTACAATCAGTAATGCGCTGCAGTACGTGTGTCTATACTTGATGTCAAATGCAAACGGTTGGCCCTGTGTCGCTAATTCACCCTTTGTTTTCATCATGACTCGGGCACATGTGAGTCCAACAACCCATGAAAAGCAATAACATACAACGCCGCACAGGGTCGGGGTGCGTTCACAGATAGGAACCGTGGGAATTTTTAGTTTTCGTTGTTTCAAAAGAGAAAACGGATGTCACTCAGTTTTCAATGGAAAACAAATTGCGTGTTAAATGAACTCGTTCACGCACAACACTGCTAATGGGGATCTTAATAAACTAAACTAAACTTGCGGACATTATGCATCTGACTTGTTCTAGTCTTTGAGTGGGGCCTGCGTGCGCGGATCCTCCATGGTCCATACGCTGTAGAAATACGCCGCTGCATGTGAATCACTATCTATCAGGCTGGCTTTTGTATTGTGTGCACAAGAAAGAGGTTTCTGCGCAATTGCACATGTGCGGTAGCTTACTGCCCAAGATTACCCAACGGATTTATACAATTCCCAAAATTTTTATTTTCAGCAGGAAAAGGTCTGAATTCCACAGATTGGCAGACAATCATTCCTGCAAAGCTTTAAGTGAATATTAGCCGACTATCGGGTACAAATACATAATATGGATTCATGATTATTAAACGTTTATTTTCATCTAAGGGCATCTTTCCTCATTGGCGATGAAAGCAAATGAATCGGCCCATTCTTCCCTGAATCCTCAGTTCTCATCGGCTCATTCTCTTTTTACCCTTGGGATCCATGGATGCATGTCGCATACAGTGGTTTGTGTACATCAGCGGCCACCTGGAGCTGGGTCACGTCACCTGCAAGGACGCAAATCTACTTTGACAAAAATGTTGAAATTTTATATTTCTTTTGCAGTTTTACTGCTTTGAAAAACATTAACAATGTTTCTCCTCCTACAGAAACCACATTAAAACTAGAATTAAAATACACCCCTGAAAGCAGAATGTAATATGCAACTTCTACCACTAGTTGGATCTTTCACTACATTTGTTATACATGGAACCAGCGCACGCCATGGAACTGGCTCACTACAAACCAGTCGCACTGACCTCCCACCTTATGAAGACCATGGAGCGGCTCACCCATCTCTGCTCTTTGGTCAGCCCCACCATGGACCCGCTGAAGTTCGCCTACAGGCCCAACATCGGAATAGAGGATGCTGTCCTCTACTTGCTGCAGCGGACGCTCTCCCACCTGGAGCCCGTCGGGAGCGCTTTGAGGGTCATGTCAACACCATCAGGCCGGCACTGCTGCGGGGCAATATGGAGGACGCGGTAGTGGACAGTAACCTCACTGCATGGACCAACAACTTACCTCTCGGACTGACCACAGTACATGCGGCTGGGAGTCTGAGGTGGTAGTCTGCAGTACTGGGGCCGACACACACAGCTGCTACATGCAGAAGCACTCCGATGACTCCGCCATCGTGGCCTGTGTGTCTGAGGGGAACGAACTGGAATACCAGTTGGTTATCATGGACTTTGTCGACTGGTGTGAGCGCAACCACTTTCCCATACACCGCTGAACATCTAGGGGGAGGACATTGTGCTGGTGGACAGCTTCAAGTACCTAGGTGTTCAAATTAACAATAAACTGGTCCCATAACACCAACTCCCTGTACAAGAAGGGCCAAAGTCGCCTCCATCTTCTGAGGAGGCTGCAGTTGTTCGGAGTGAGCAGGCCTCTGCTCAGGACCTTTTATGATTCTGGCAGCTTCTGCCATACACTACGCTTCCGTGTGCTGGGCCCCGGGCAGCACAGAGCGGGACAGGAGTAGACTGAACAAGCTGGTCAGGACTCAGGAGGGCCAGCTCCGCTCTGGGCTGCCCCCTGGACTCTGAAGGAGTTGAGGGATAGGAGGGTGCAAGACAAAGTCACTCCCACTGCACAGGACTGGAAGGAGCTCCTTCAGTGGAAGACTGAGGCACCCACAGTGCAAGAAGGAGCGCTACCGCAGGGCCTTTATCCCTACCACTGTCACAGCTAATTTCCGCAGGACGTGTTAACAACTCATAAGCGTTGACTGCGCGCATATGTGCCTAAGATTACTTGGCTGTATGTCCACTCTCCCTGTAGTCTATGGAGAAGTGTAGAGGACAGTACGGGCCAGAGGATTGATATAGAGCAACACAAATCACATGTATGTGTTTGTCTTCATGGTCTCTGTGCGCTGAATCACTGTAAAACCTGCTGCTCCTGCGTGCGTGCGTGTGGATGCAATCTAGGGCCAAGGACCACTAGAAAAATCGTTTCCCATGTGCTTTGAATGGGAGACGCGTTGCTGCGTGCACAAAATAAGAAATCCATCCTAAATCAGGCACGCCTCGCGGCTGTCGTACGCGCGTATAACTCTGGTAGTGTATATCACCATTGATTAACAAGGAAAAATGTTATGCGCGTTTGCTGCGCATACTGTACAACGCGTAAGTGCTGTAATGCCTCCTTTGTAAATTAGCAGTCAAACTGCAATAAGTCACTAATGCACTAAGACTGAAAAAGCCCTGCACTGCTATTGCCACTCTTTCTTTTATTGCCAATTTTTTTTACATAATTATATCCTGCACAGACTATATTTTTTTACCTTAACATGCACCTCTGTCTTTTGCACAATCTGAGTGATTCTATCCATGTCAAATGTGACATTTATCCAGTGTGAGATCAATAAAGTCTATATTTTCTTATCTTATATCCATCCATATATTTTCTTCTTTCTTTTCTCAAATATCTTACATGCTTAAATAAATGCCATTTTTAGTGCCAAATTTAACTCTCATAAAGCCTCATATTTGTCTTTAGAGCAACAATGTGTGCTCCTTGTAGACTTGTTGAGATGGAACAATAGTGCTCCTGGGTGTCCGGTCCAGGCAGGCTCAGATGATGGATGAATAAAGCCTTGTATTAAAACAGCAGCTCTAACACTGTGCTCTCTGTGCTCCTCAGTGATTGGTGTATCTCCAGGCAGCTCTGGTGGGGCCATCAGATCCCAGCTTACAGAGTGGAACTCCACAATTCCCCCGACAAACAAGAGGTCTGGCTTTCCTAGTATGCATTTGGAGATCATATACTCTTAAATTATTTTCTGAGAATGCTAATAGATGCTCAAAATGGACAAACTCCTGTGTAGTCTGACTGCAGATGAATTAATGTCCCTGCATTGGATTATTAAAGTATCTGTCTATTTATCTATCAAAAGGTAGACATTTGCATCTTCAAATGCCTAATTTGCGTGTCAAGTCATCATTAATTGGCCCTAATATGTCAAAAAGTATTAATAAACTCTTTTCGAATGTTTCTTTAATTGATAACTCAAAATTAAAATTAGATTTACAAAATGTAGACAATTGAAGGCGGACAAAAACTTTTTGTCTGATGCAAAACTTGCTACGTTCCTCATTGACAGTTGAAAAAGCTGCCTGGGGCTGAGGAAACGTAGTATCAAGTGGTATGTAGTGGTTATGTCACAGTGCTTTCCCTGCAGTGGCCCAGGTTCTAGTCAGAGTTTGTTCAAGTGTTTTGGGTGAAACTACACTATGTTCTTTGACAGATTGCTCAAGAACAATAAAAAAATAAACGCACTTCCCTGATCTGAAACAAGTCTGGTAGTCAATGAGTCAATAATAATGACAGTTTCACCATTAAACATAATTGGTAGGTTACTTTTTTTTTTATTAAGAAAACTAAATTGTAAAAAATATATATATATATATATATGAGGCCAGATTTATCCCAATTAAAATAATGTTAGGCTCTTTGTGATGTGGGACTGGTGTATATACATCTATGTCTAAAAAATAGGGACTCACAAAAAATTGACGGGGGGGGCTGATCCCCCCCTCTTGAGGTAACCCTAATGCTTATACTCTGAAGAAATATATTCCAACATTTGCTTGGCTATCATGGCAATGTGAAACGCATGGAGACAGACAAACCACTCGATTAAATAATTCCTTGTGTTTGCATATTGTGGGCTCTAGTGTGAGATTGAATATAGACATGACGTATTTCAACCTAAAATAGACTAATTTCTGTGAAAAAGGTGTTGGTAATAGAATTGTTGTTGACAAAACTCTTGTCTATTCAGCTTTTATGGTCCCAGCTGGATTCGGTGAGTATCTGGCAAACTGAGTCAGGGAGAGTGGGAGATGTGGCCATGTCACGTCAATTTATTAAATAAACCAAAGCAAATTTCCATTTATCACCCCACAGTCAGTGCTTTAAGTGGGCCGGTACGCGGTAGTGCGCAAAACCGGCACATTTAAAAATAGCTCTCTTGAGCCACCTCTCTGTGCTTTTGGCGTACCAGTACGCTCATTTGCACATCTGTTTTAATTCTTCATCTGCTCCGCCCTTTACAATGCCCAGAGAATACATTACCCATAAGTTTTACTTTTGCCGCTGTAAACATCTCAACTTGGTAGAGATGCACAATGATCGGTATAAATATCTATATCAGCATTTTTTTTACCTATCATATCGGACCGATGTGTAAAATTGGGCCAATAACCACTGTAGGGAACGCCCCTTTTTGGTTTTATTTTGAAATTTGTCGGGGCAACTTGGGTGCTTCCGTATTGTACTAAAAGTTGACATGGTGTGTGGACTCGGGATGGTCCTGTCTGAACTGTCTGTTTAGCGCATAGCTGAAAGGGGGATAAAAGGTGTGTATTTAAATGAGATTTTTTAATGAGGAAAATCCCAAGGATAAAAACAAAATGGATTTATGTACCGAGGCCTCCGCTTTGGACGAAGACTGCGCCACATTGAGGGTTCCTCATACTCTACCAACATCTGCTCCACCTGCACATCAACCAACGTTTGTCACCATTAAGGCCCCTGCCCCACACTCGCCTGTAGTTGGCCAGCTCTCGAGAGGCCCTGCTGTTTCCGCATCCATGCCAACATCCACTGAGTCTAGCCTTCCCTCACTGACTCAAATATTGCAAGATGGCCTTGTTTTGAGTCGTCTTCCAGTCCCTGAACCTTTTGTTTTCTCTGGAAATCCAATCAAATTTATAGAATGGAGGGCTGCATTCACATCACTTATCAGTCGGCGAACTATAGATCCAGCCGAAAAACTGTACTACCTCAAAAAATATGTTACTGGACCAGCTCGACAAGTTTTGGAAGGAACATTTTTTAGAAATGATGACGAAGCATTTTCAGATTGCATAGGAGAAATTGAATAATAGATTTGGCCACCCGTTCACTATCCAAGGAGCCTTCAGAGAGCGTATTAATAACTGGCCAAAAATCCATGCTAAAGACGCAGAAGGCTTACGCAACTACTCCGACTTCCTCAACACTTGCCTCGAGGCGATGCCACATGTTAAGGGATTAGACATTTTGAATGATTGTGAAGAAAACCAAAAATGAGGGCTGCAGCTAGTTGGAATCGTCAGGTGACCCAAGGTTTAATGGATAGAAATACTTCGTGTTATGGTTGCTTAAAACGGGGGCATGGAGTGAAGTATTGCAGACAAAGATTTTTGTGTGACGATTGTGGTGGGAGGCATCCGACAGTTCTCCACGATGAACATTTTGAAAGAAGGGACGTCAGGGCACAGGATCCAGAGGATACTTCAGCCACATCGCTTCATGTTGCATCAAATTCACCCCTCCTTACATACATGATTTTGCCCGTATTGGTCTCGTCTAAAAAAGGCCCAGCCCAAGAGATCTTGGTATACGCTCTCCTTAACTCTCAAAGTGACACCACCTTCATTGATCAAAGTCTTGCTGATTCATTGGACACTGTTAAGCAAGCTGTAAAACTAAAGTTGACAACAATAAGCGCTGCTGGAGTGGTTGTTTTCAGTGAAAGATTGTCGGACCTCTGTGTTAGAGGTTTCAATTCAAGTGTAAAAATAGATCTTCCAGTTACCTATACAAAGGAATGCATACCACTGGATGTTAGTCACATACCCACGCGAGAAACCGCAAGGAAATGGAGTCATCTCAGGAAACTAAGTGAAGAAATGCAACCTTTACAAAACTGTGAGGTAGGATTACTCATCGGACACAATTGTTCACGTGCAATGGCGCCAAGACAAGTTGTTACCGGGAATGATAATGAACCATATGCAATTCGAACAGATTTGGGATGGAGTATAGTAGGAGGGGCTCCTCAATATAGCAATCTTTGTCAGAACCGCATCTGCCATAGAACCCTTACAAAGGAGCATCCTCTACTGTCTCCGGTTGATGCAGTGAAAATGCTTGAATCCGACTTTAAGGATATGGCTGACGAGGCAGAGCCACTCTCAAAGGAGGACATTGATTTTTTTGAATGCGATGAGCCAACAGATATTGAAAAATGAACAAGTCCATTATGAAATGCCATTACCGTTCAAGAAAAGGCCAATCTTGCCTAACAATAAAGAGATGGCACTAGCGAGGCTTGTTATAGAAGTTTCTATCCAAAGCACAGAGTAAGCTCAAAAGTATTTGTCTTAATCAGGAGCGTAAGTTTATTGTACACACGTGCGGAGAGCTAACATATACAAAAGGCAGCATACACCAGCTCTGGCGCGCAGAGCTCAGGTTCCTGTTTACATAGATACACATGAAAGACAGTCACGCCCACAACAGATGGGAGGGGGCCACCAGTACAGGAGGCGCATCTGGAGCGGAGGAGCCATGTCCCAGCAGAGACAATCAGACCGTGCCATTGAGATGCAATGCATCACCTTTTGTTTTAGCGCAAGACACAGGAAGGCCTTTGTCTTAGGTGTGAAAGGAGCAGACAGCAGAGGCCTTCACAAAGCTCAGCATGGCGTCAGAAGGCCGTCTCTGCATTGATTAAAGGCCTTTGACGTCCGTGTATTTGCTGCGGCTGGTTCTAATTTAATTACTCTAAAAACTGTCAATTACACTCCCCTCTTTTGATAATTCAAAACCATTTTTGCATTAATCAGTTAAATACCAGAGGCATCGTAATCACATCACCTTCAAGCTTGAAACACTTAAATTATTGCTGTCCAAAGTGGACAAGAAAAGAAACATGCTTGTCAATAAAAGAAAGAGCACATTATAATAACACAATGGATCCGGACAGCGATAAGAGTGCGGACAGTGTGTCCAACATAATATGCCACGGGCCCATGCCGGTATTAGCCTGCTACGCGGGGGTTCTGTAGTCTTTTCCGCGGCATGGCGATGTTCGGTCTTGGAGCGGCAAGACCCTAATCGCGTTGGGGCTTTGGCCTCGGCACTTCGGGGTGTGACCTTGGGGTCCGGGGGCAAGGGAGATGGGCAAAGGGGGTCGCCTCGGGAACGCTGGGATTCTCTGGGTGTTGTTGTTGTTGTGGGCCTGCTCCAGTGACGGAGTTCTCACGCCGGCCAGCCCCTTATGCTTAGGGAGCCGTGAATATGCCTGCTCCGTCCCGACCCTCGGTGTCCTCGTCTATGGCCCTCGGTGGCAGCGCTGCACGATAGTGGTTGGCGTGGATCCAAGCTGTCCTCTCTGCGATCTTTAGCGGCCGTGTCCGTCACCAGGAGGATGAGGATGGGATCCATGTTTCCGTCTTGTCTCCTTCACCAGGGCCCAGTCGTATGGCTCAATCTCGTGCAGAGCCGCCTGCACCGCCTGTGGCAGGGCGCTCCTGACCTAGGCAGAAATAGATTACAGTAGTGCATTCATTTCTTTACAATAGGACAGCATGTCGTCATCACACAAAGAGGTGCTGGCAGATCTCTGTTCGGGGGTCCCGCGCCCAAGTTGGGTGGTCTGGCAAAGAGGATTTCGAATGGACTTAGGTTTGACCCTGACCTGACTCTCATGCGCATGTACATGAGGGCTAGCGGCAGAGCTTTGATCCAAGACAGGTCTGTCTGTTCGCAGATTTAACAAGTTTGTTTTTCAGAGTGTCATTCTCTCGCTCGCACGCGCCTCCGCTCCAGGGGGCGTAACTGCAGTGTTTACGTATATCAATGCCCAGAAATTCACCTACTTCCTCAATGACTTTTGCTACAAAGTGACTGCCGTTGTCACTAGAGATTTTTTCTCGGGACACCCCATCGTGGCACAAT